TGGAGAAGAGTGTTGAATGTACCATGGACTGCCAAGAAAACAAACAGATTCATCCCAGAGAGGGTTAAACCAGTCTTTTCCTTGGAATCAAGGATTCTGGGGCTTCGTCTAAGATACTTTGGACATGTTGTCAGGAGAGACAGGTCCTTGGAGAGGGACATATTCTTGGTAGGATGGAGGGACAGCACAGGAGGGGAAGACCCTCTATGAGGTGGATTGATACAGTGATGGGAAATCAGGATGGGTGTGTCAGAGGCAGTGCGATTGTCACAGGATAGAGCAGAGTTTAAGGCTGTTGTACATAATGTCGCTATGAGTCGCAAATGACTCGACGGCACATAACAACAACAACAACAACAACAGACATGTCATTGCAAAGTATTTTTTTTCTAGTCTATGGCTTCCCTTTCTACCCTGTTGGAGAAGTTTTTAGATGTGCGAAGGGATTTTATTCTTAGAAGGTGCCATTCATCTATTTTATCCTCTCCTGGTTGTAGGTTTTTCAGGATACTTGGAAGCCTGTTTATGTTGTAGATTAGGGCTTCTAGAAGTCTTCCAAGCTTTTCTGTAATGACATTTATAATCCTTGGTTTTAGTCTTAGGTTCTTGATCCACTTGGAGTTGGTTTTTGTGTATGGAGTGAGATGTGGATAGAGCTATGCTTCTAATCTGATGTCATGTAGTTCAAATCCACCAGCTATTTGGTGGAAGAAAGATGGACAGTCTCCTTCTACATGATTTACTGTCTCTGAAATCCTGCTATAGAATCAACTATTGAGTTGGTTCCACGCAGCAGTACTTAACAGCTACAACTATGAAGAGTATGTGTGTAAATGTTACTGACTTCAATCCTGAATTCAAAACAGTGAAAGAACAAAATAAAAGATGTATCTTACAATTTTAGGTTTTTGGAAAGTTTATTATAATCTCCATAAATTTCTAGGCATCCCTGAAAAATATGTTATGAGTAATAATGATAAAAGTTTAGTAATAATCTTTACATGAACATAAATATAGTTGTTGTTGTTGTTGTTATATGCCACTGAGTCAAAACTAACTCATAACTGACCTTTTGCAGCTTGTCAGAGGCTTGTATGATTTCAGTTGCATGTCTGAGTTGCCATCAAAACTCCCTGCTACCTTCCACTAGAGCTCCTATTACATATATACAGAGAAAGAGGAGTTACTTAATTTTTCATATTTTCCATTTTCTAAGGGATATCTATTGAAATTTTTTTTGGAAAATTGCCCTTTACTAAGTGACAGTGTTTCACTGTATAAAAAAATAGATGTATCTTTTTTTCCAGTTTATCTTACTTGTATAAGAATAAAAACTGGTTAAATTTTATAGTTTCCATTTTGAAATGGTGCTTTTTGTTAAAAAGTAAAGAAAGCAAAGGAAATGCTTCTTTTGATGTGTGATGGACTATTTTGTATTCAGGAAATGAAGGAAGGAATGCTTTTAAACTTAGTCTAAGTCCATCAACAGTGTTTTGTTGTGCCATTGTTGAAGTTATGTGCTGTCAAATAGAATGTAATTCTTTGTATGTTTAACAGCTCAAAACCTAGCGCAGTCCTGTACCATCCTTATAATCTGAGCTATGTGTAGCATTCTGAATGCCGTCTATCCTTAGGGCTTAATCTGCTACCACTGCATCAGACAGTAGTATTTTTGGGGATCTGTTCTTTCAGAGGTGAATGACCATCTGTGCCTTCTATCTTGCCTTAGTCTGGAAGCTCTACTGAAACCTGTCAGTGAAATCTTTGTAGAGCTAATCTTCGTAATTGATTAGTACATTAATAAGCTTTGTCTACCTTTTCTGTGTTTGTCCTTTTGACAGATTTATTGTTGAGTTGGGTGCCATCGAATTGGTTCCAACTAAAAGCAATGTGATATATAACAAAATAAAACTGTGCCTGATCATGTACCATTCTTGTCATTTCTACTGTGACTAAGCACATTGTTGTAGTCACTGTCTCAGCCTGTATCATTGAGGGTCTTCTTTTCACTGACTATCCACTCTTCTAAGCTATGTCCCCAGTGACTGGGTCCTCCTGATAATATACCCAAAGTACGTGAGACAAAGTCTCACCATTTTTGCTTTTATGGGGCATTTCTGGTTTGTTACCTGACATTCTGCTAAAGGTCAGTGTTTGAGTCTACCAAATTCTTCATGGGAGAGGATGGTCATTCTTACCTTTAAAGATTTACAGCCTCAGAAATTCCATGGAAAGCATTATGACTCTGAATTTACTTAATAGCATTGAGAAGAGGCACTGCAGTCCTAAAGGAATGTAGTTCAAATCCACTAGCGGCTCCATGGGAGAAGGATGGGCAGTCTCCTTCTGTGCAATGCATTGCCTCTGAAAACCTACTGGAGGGTCAGTTATGAGTCAGTTCTCACTCAGTGAAACACAAAAACACAATATTCTTAATCTAGAATGGGCAAACAGTGATGGAAAAATGATATTTCAATATTAATAAAACTGATAAAGATGAGAAGATTCTAATAATAGGCTATTATGTGGTTCAGGGTCTTTGAAACAAATTTTACTTTTGTTTGTGCTATAACCTAACTCAAGTTTTTAAGAATTAAAGTGCTCGTACAATGGAAGATTCTGTTTTTACAGTTTTCAATTTGTTGTTTCTTTTATCTGCAGGATTAACAGTGGAGGCCCTGAATCAAACGGAAAATTTTTATCAAGAGAACGTGGAAGAAAGAAAATTGGATTTTATGAGCCTCAAAAATATCAGTGAAACTCAATCTAAGGTAAGTAGTAAAGTATTGCTCTTGTGAGGATGATAAAGTGTTACTAGTGCTTTCCTTTTCCCCTTCATTGCCTCATTTTGAACATCTAGGGTATTGGGGTTTTTTTTTGTTTGTTTATTTTAAATAGTTGTTATGTAAATGGTAAAAAAAATGCTATTTTCAATAGCCTAAGGATTAATGAGACATTATTTATTCTAAATAGAGATTAGAAGTTCAGATTATAAAAAACCTGCTACATGAAAGGTCACCATTCAATATTCCATATGCAGATCAGAAGGAGATCGAAGAGAACATGGTCATAGGATCGTTATCCAGAATTTTACCTGAAATTCATCATAGTGTAGAAAGTGGAGTGGATGGTTTTGCATCTTTAAGTAGACAGTCCTCTTCCATGCAAGTAAAAGATGCTAATAATTCAACTTCAGAAATTATTACAGTAATGGAGATCTTAAAATCAGTATGTCTGTAATCTTTAAGCGATTTAGAATCACCAGTCAGTAACCTTAGTAAAAAGGTTATATAGTTATATGAAGAGATGAATGACTTTTTGTGCTCATTTTCTGATGATGGTCTGAAAAATGTGTCCAGAGGTCAGCAGGCACTAGAGAGGACTAATCATACAAAACAGAGATTTTGTTCAAGCTTTAACTCAAGCTTCGGACTTGATGCAGAGGTTATCACTTAAGCAAAAATCTGCAGTCTTTTGTCAACAAATTCACGATATTAGCCCTGACACTGGTAAATCATAGGTGGCAGCATCAGAAGATGATGAGCAGATTCACACCCAAATAGAAGATGCAGATAACAGTTTGAAAGAAGATGTAAGGAAAAAACAAACATACACACAAAGAGTTTAAAAAGTAACCCAGAATTAATCTCCCAGACCCTGTGACTGCTCCTGCACAATCAGAACTCTCTCAGATAGATCCCCTTGACAACCTTATAGAACGGCTGAAGAGGGAACTAGTGTGTCTTAGGTTTCAGGTGAGCTTTCCTCCACCTTACATTCCTCTTGTTGCTTTTTATAAGATCTCTAGCAATGTTCTTTAACAATTATAGTAAGAAATTTTTGTATATTAGCACTAATTTCTATATAGACATTCTATTTCTATAAATCTATAAATTTAACACATTTGATATAAAGTTATTAACTTGACAAATTTTGTTAAATATTTTTTTAGAATGAAATCATAGCACAAGATTTATTGATCAAAGAAGCACAGAATAGAAGTGCAGAAATAGAAATTGAACGACATAGCAGCCAGGCAGAACAGGTAGTATAAAGCTAGACAATTGAAAGATTTTTGTAGTATAAAACACCTAACAAAACAAACAAGGCTTCATTATATTTGTTTGCCTTTTGCCAGGGGTGGGAAGATAGTGAGAAGAAGAGCACCGTCAATTTTGTTCTTAACTTTTATTTTACTTTTTTTACTGCTACCATTTCTCTATCCTTTCCTTTTGTTTTGCCTCAATTGATCTTTTCTTAACTTGAAATTCATACACTGTTGCACTATTTTGGAGAAAGACGATCAATTTGTGTTTTGTTTTTTGTTCAGAATGAAATTCTTTCAAGAGAACTAATTGAAAAGGAAAGAGATTTGGAAAAAAGTAAAACTGTTATCACCAAATTTCAGAATAAAAGTGAGTTGCTATTTTTATTATTTCTTTGTACAGTGAAGAAAATATTCTCATTTGCTTGAAATTATAGTTCTGAAAAGACTTGCATTCACTATTCTGTTTCATACTTTTTTACCATCATCAGATATAATATTAATTTTCTTTTGTTGATTTGTTTACCTGACAGTTTTCATTGTCATGCAATTTTTGAAACTAAATTTTTATACAGAATGTATAAGACAATTACTTAATGAAATAAAGTTAGAAAACAGAATTCAAAATGTTTTTCCATAATGTCTACTTTAAGGTAAAGCAAAAGTATGGTTATGATTTTTTTTCCTCAGGTATAAAATAGTATGTTACTTAATAGCATGTAAATTAACTAACTGTATCACTTAATTTGACACTGAACAAAATATATTTACATTTTAATTTTTAAAACTTTAAAAAATATTTAGAATTTCCAAATGGCTATTTAGCAACCTCCATATTTGAAATATTCTTTATATAGAGTAGTGTAAATTAATAAAAGTTCTGTTCCATAAATGATAAATAAATATGTGATTACAGTAAGAGAATTAGCTGAAGAAAACAAACAACTTGAAGAAGGTATGAAAGAAATTTTACAGGCTATCAAAGAAATGCAGAAAGATCTTGATGTTAAAGGAGGAGAAACATCTTTAATTATCCCTAGTCTTGAACGGCTGGTTAATGTAAGTATTGTTTGTTTTTAATGAGTATTTTTATTTTTTAAGCACTTTAAAAATATTCTTATGTTTTTAGGCATTGGAGTTTTAAAAAGTTATTATGATTAGATAATTTATAGTTAAGTATTTCTTTAATGATATCATAATTATTTAGCCCAGGAAAGTGATACTAGTATGTTTAAAACATCACAATGCAAAAGAAATCTGTCAAAATATATCAAATGTTCGATGGCCCTTTATATCTCTTCTTTTGACTTTCTTCTCCTCTGGTTAGTTATTCATTTTAGTCTTTATTTGGAATACCAAAAAGTATGTCATGCCTTTCTGTGTGAATATCTTTAGCTGAGATGCTACCTGCTACTGATACTGTGTTCCTCAAGTGACCTAATAAAAACAAAATAATGAGCCCCAGAAACATAAGCTTCTGTTTCTCTTAGCAGCCTCTGACCTTGCCTGGAACCTGCTTCTTTTGAGTTTCATCTGCTTTTACCCTGAGTTTTCATTCTTATTCCATTGTTATCTGTGGAAACTAATGAATGACACAGCAGTACCTCCTTTAATAAATCTTTAAAATTCATTGCACTTTAAATAATTCTGAATTATGCACCTACACTTACTATTTAATGCTGTGACATTTCCTCATGCCTTCAGTCACCACCTAATTGAATTGCTAGCTTTCATATTATCAAGAGATACTATAAGCAATATAGTTCTATTTCTTAGCAAGACAATCAACTAGACTACCATATTCATTATATATTTCCCATTTTTTTACCTTCCTTCCTGATACCTGCTTTGAATTAAAATATTATTTCTCAGGGTTTACATTAATCTTCTGAGGGTAAAGGCTTATTTTTTTTATAAAACCATGACTGAGTGAAAGATTATAATTAATTATCACATTTTATCTTCTTTGTCTAGTTTTACATTTCTGAAATTTACTTTGCATTTAACAGATTTGTTCCATAATTTTTCTGAAGTCTAATTACTCCTATTTATATGTATTTTGTAAAAGTATACATGAGAATATGTGTACTATGTATAACATTGCTGGACAGTATTTTAGTATTTGACTTAAAATATTTTCTTATTTAGACTTGGAAAAACAATATATTTTACCTTTGTTATTAGATATTAACAAGCTGTGTAAGAGAAGAGGCACTGAAAAATTCACTTAATTAAGTGTAGTAACATCTATTTCTTTATTTTACATTAATGCTTCATGGTTTCAGTTGATTTATATATAAACTTTTTCATTTGGACTTTAGAACAACACTATGAAATGAACAGTTAAAATTTGCCCCCTGTCCCCCCCTTATAGTGTTTAGTAAATTAACAGGATAAAATTTCAGTTGGCAATAAGATATAATTTCTCAGGACAGTTTATAAAGTGTGCTCACATGCCCTTCAGCCTCATGGCTTTGGGCCAGTGTCACAGAGTTCTTAGTACTGCCGATTCTGACATCTTCTCTCAGCCTAACCCTATTCCTTCAGCAAACTTGGGTGAAGGCCTCTAGCTTTGATTCTTTTGTATAGCAGTCCCAAGATCAGCTCCCGTCCACTTCAGATCTCTGGTTCTCTGCAGTGGCTGCTGCTGCTCTCCTGTAGGTCTGATTGGCATAAGAATCTCAGCCACCAAAAGGATGCACCTTTAGTGCATTCTCTGCTGGCATTCAGATTCTAAAAATCTGCAGCTGAATTGGCTCAATTTAATGGCAAGAATAACACACCCTATTCATATATTCCCGCCCATCTACTGGCAAAGTCAAAGCCATTGGCTAGGAAAAAAACATTTTGAACAATAAAACTTTGACACCACAAACTACCTCCTGGCCTTTCTAGTCATTAACCTTCAAATTTTTACTAATATCTGTATTTATGAAAGTATATAATCTAGTCACTTCATGTTTTAATCTCCATTTTAGATAGCTAGTTTCTGATTTGTCCATCAGCCAGAGTACTCCTTGGAGGCAAGAGTAGCAAAGCTTCATCTAACATACTTTGGGCATGTTGTCAGGAGCCGCTTTTCTTTAAAAGGAACATCTTGCTTGGAAAGGTGGAGGAATGATGGAGAAGAAAACCCTTAACCAGATAGATTGACACAGTGACTTCAGCAATGGGCTTGAGGGTGTCAAAGATTATAAAGATAATACAAGATAAGATAGGCTTCAGATCTGTTATTCTCTTTGAGCCTTATTTGACTGACAGCATGGAAAAACACCACCACATCAAACCATTATATTTACTATAAAAACAAGCATGCTCCTTTCTTTGAAGAATTTTTTGTTCCAATTAGAACTTACAGCATGTGCATCCATAATTAAAGTCTAGTCAAGAGCAAGCCATAAGGTTGCAAAAGTAAACACTAGCTCACAGCATGGAACTTCTCTTCATCTCTTTGGGTTTAGTCAGCTAACTTATCCCCTGCCACTCATGGCTAGGTTCAAATGATTATCATCCTCAAACTCAGGGTCTGCCCTTCATCCTGTGTTCCAGATAGCCTTGTCCTTTCACTCAGCCTTAGCCCCCATATGGGGCCAGGTAAACAATTCAGGGGTGCTCTTGACTCCTCAGGCCAGCGACCCTTCTTTGTTTATCCATATATCTGTGTTTGCTAGGTAGATAGTGATGATGGAACACACCCAAACTTGGCCTGTCTCTTCATTGCTGCATGTCTGCCACTCTGTTGGATTCAGGTCACCATCATAAGAGAGCATACTTGCCAACTCCCTTTTAATTCAAGTCCAAGAAAAACACTGATGAGCACCAGCTTTTCATTCTTTCAGTTCATTGGAAGTCAAAAGACTGTTTTCCGTTTTTAAAAGTCTTTGTTTTTCTTTTATCCTGCTTATCTTTCTTTCAAATGTAAATCCCGAAGTGAGTCAAGAGTCCAAAGTGAGTGTACAAATCCATTCAAAAGCAAATCTCCATGAGAGTATTGGGTGGAACTTAATATTTCCTCTAAACTAAGCCTCACACACTCTACCAAATTCTACTATTTTAAGCAAGCATTTTTCAGGGCAGATTTTCCCTTTTAGCATATCCAGTTGAATAACTGGCCAAAGATGGCTTATAGGCTTTCTATAATCTTTAGTATATCCTAATATAATGTCCAGAATTCACTTTTGCAACATATATTAACATTATTACATAGAAGAAGCATAAGAGGCAGCAATATTTCTTAAGTTAAATCAACAAAAACCTTAATTTCTGTAGTATAACTTAACTGCTACTGTATGGGAGAAGTAGAAACAATATTCATAAAGTTAAACCAGTAAAAACCTTAACACACAAACCTTTAAATAATCTTCTACATTCAACTTCATTTTCCACCCTTTACTGACCTTATTCTTATGTCAGTTAGCCCTTCTTTAAAGATAAGGAAACTAAGAGATGATGAACATAAGCTAATTGCTTAGCTAGTATTTAGATTTAAACTTAGTTATCTTATTTCTATGTAGTTGTTTTTATAATTTACCAGTCTTCTAGTGGTCTAAAGGTAAGAAGCTGCACTGCAATCCCAAAGACACACAATCTGTTGCAAACCACAACCCTTTACACAATGCCTGGAAGAAATGAACATAAAAAGACAAACACACACAGAAGACAAAACAGGACTGCAGCAAAAAAGACACAACACACAGATGAGACAAAAAACTGAAGCCCCATGGGTCTGTATTGCTTTAATTTTATAGGGGTCTAAACAGTGATCTCATTTCTCATAGAATCATAAAAGGTGGGTACAGAAACAATTGAGTATGGGAGAGTGCACACACTGTTCCTTATGATAGATGTGGCTTTTCACATCAAAGGAGTTAGGGGACCGAGATGACTAAGATGTATTCATTACAGGAAGAGAGACCTCCAAGTTTCCAGCCCGCATTTGGGACAAAGGACAAAAGTTTCGCTTTCATTATTAAACTAGAAAGTTACCTGTTTGCAGGCTGAACTTTCAATAACCCCAAAACCCACCTGCGTGTAGGCTGGACTTCCAATAATGGTGTCTGGTCCTCCTCACAGTCTGATCCAAATCCACCTGCTGCTCTGTGGGAGAGGGATGGTCAGCCTCTTCTCTTGTACTTTATTGCCTCTGATAACCTGCTAGAGAATCAATAATGGGTTCTTTCCTACTCAAAGCAGACAATAACAACAGAGATTGTTTAATGTTTAATAGTTAATAATGAAATTGTTATGGTCTTGTAAATTGCCACCCTTAACTGTGATTCATGGCAACCTTTTGAATAACAAAACAAAAACCAATAATGTTCGTCTTTCTGATTTTTGGTATGTTTTTATTGCCCCACTATTTTGCCAAACATGATGTTCTTTTCTAGCAATGTACCTTTTCAGATGAGATTTTTAAGTAGGTGAGTCTTTACTTTGAAGCAACACTTAGATTGTATTTATTCTGATACTAATTTGCAGGTTGACACTTTGTATTCTTCACCAGTAACACAATTTTAATGCATCAGTTCTTTTCTTTGTTTGCACTGTACAACTTTGTATTCATGTGACTTAATTAGAATAACCATTCTAGCTTGGCCCATACACCTTAGACTCAAAATGACATTTGCATTTATACAATTTTGACAATTCTTTTAAAATAGATTTTCCTGTTGCAGAGCATCACTTGATTGTTCTTTTGGTTGTTTTTTAAAAAGATTCAGTCATAGACCTTGATTATTGATCTGTGTAGCTCGCTGTTGTATACTGTCAAGTTGGATCTGACCCTTAGCTGACCTGGCAAGTTTTCAGAAGCAGTTAATTGCACAGGAGGAGATTGCCCATCCTTCTCCAGTTGAGCAGACAGTGCATTTGAACTACACGCCTTCAGGATTACAGCGTAGCTTCTTGCCAGTAGGCCACCAGAACTCCCTATACATGAATGGATGGCATTTTATAAAGGAAATTAATTTTTAGAAGTTTAATTTAATAAGAAATTAAATTAGTTTATTTTGTTATTATATATAGCACTTAGAGTAATAAATGCTTAAATGTTGGTTTTATTTAAAGGTCGATCTTATTTTCCTCTCATGTCTCTTTCCTATAATCTGAATGCATTAGGCTATAGAATCAAAGAATACAGAAGGAATCTTTGATGCAAATCTTCATTTGAAAGCCCAAGTTGATCAACTTACTGGAAGAAATGAAGAATTAAGACAAGAACTCAGGGAAGCAAGGAAGGAGGCTATAAACTATTCACAGCAGCTGGCTAAAGCAAATTTAAAGGTGAAAATTTTAGTCATCAATTTCCAACTTTCAAGAAAACACTGTACTGCCTTCCATAGTGGTTGCACCATTTTACACACTCACCAACTGTGAATAAGGGTTCTACTCTCACCACAGCCTTGTCAGCATTTTTGTTTGCTCCTCTGAAACATAAGGAACTCATAGAATATACACAATATGGGTGACCCTGGAGGACATTATGGGAAATGAAATATCTCAGTCACAAAAGTACAAATACTATATAACACCACTGTTATAAAACTGGACTGACGTGGGGGTGGGGGAAAAGTAATAAAAGAGGGGATAAATAAGGAATACTGCATTGGAATAGATGGAGGAATGGACTATTTAAAAGGAATATATGATTAGGCATTATTTGTATGACAACAATCCAGATTAAGAGGGGCATAGCAAAGTAGACTGGGGGAGTGAAGAAGGGAGGAAATTATGCAATAATAAGTGATTTTTTTTTTAAATGAAGTAGGGTGGATAGGGAGGAAAATGTGCAATAATGAATGAATGAAAATCCAACTTTTCTGTAAACTTTAATTAATATAAAAATCATAGGGTTACACAATTTGATGAGTAGAGGGCTGTGTGGGTAAAGGAAATAGGAAAGACCAGTGTGAAAAACAATGTTTACAAATTTTGTGAGTAAACCTGAATAAAATAAAATTAAAAAATCACAAAAGAAAAAGAGGAAGAAATGGAAAATTTTACTACTAAAAAGGAAATATTACACGTAAGAATTTAAGTTCAGTATCAAACTTAAAAACTGGTAAATTTATGAGAAAATGTTCATTGGACTAATTCTTTTAGCTTTACGAAAATACCTATATATTGTTAATGCAGTTAAACAGGAAAAAAACCCTAATTCCTTACTAAAAAAGAATACAGAAATTTTAGATCTTTAGATATTATTTCTTAGAAATTCAAATATTGTTTAGTGAATTCTTTGCAGGGCATTCAGTACATACCTATGTACTGATAGTAAACACTCTATTGGATTTTCAGAGGCTGTGAATTACATGTGAGATTGCTCATCTTTGTCCCGTGGAGCAGCTGGTGGACTTGAACTCTGTTTGGGTTGGCAGCGCAACTTCTTATTATTCAGCCATTAGAGCCATCTTCTTTTAAAAATAGTCAGTAGAGAGGAGAGAAAAAAAATCAAGACATGAAACAAATGTACTGCTTTTAAATTTGTCTCTGGTTGCAAAAATGTGATAATTGTCTTCCCTGTATTGTTACAGATAGATCATCTTGATAAAGAGACTAATCTTTTACGACAGTCAGAAGGATCAAATGTTGTTTTCAAAGGGATGGACTTACCTGAAGGGATAGCACCATCTAGTGCGAATATCATTAATTCTCAGAATGAATATTTAATACATCTCTTACAGGTACTCTAAATTTAAATAGAAAAGACCCACTGATATGTTTCAGAATTTAGTTTTTATTTGCGCTTGCACAATAGTAAGAGATATTTCTACTGAATTTTGAAGTTAGAAGGAACCCTACAAATAAATCCATGTATTCCACTTGATTGCATGAGAGGCATGCTCACACACATTTGTTAATGGTATTTGACAGTCATGTGAAATATATAATTGATGATTTCTCATAGCTGACCTTTGAGTGGATTTCAGTGTCTGTAAATCACATAGGAAGAGACTGCCCAACTTTCCCCCTTGAAGAGCAGCTGGTGGATTTGAACCACTTGCCTTTGGGTTGACAGCACAGCTTCTTCCACTTGGCCATTGTGTTGTGTTGTTACTTGTCATACAGCCAAGTATGATTCACAGCAACTCTATGCATAACAGACCTGAAATTTGACCAATCTTGTGCCATCCTTATCTTCTGTAACATACGTGAACCAATTGCCACAATCACTGTGTCAATCCATCTTACTGATGGTCTTCCCTTGTAACATGCCCAAAGTATGTGAGATGGATCTTTGCCATCCTTGTCTCTAAGGATCACACTTACTAAACTTTCTCCAAGACATAAATGTTTGGGGTTTTTGTCAGTCTGTGATACAGACCGTGGTCTTTGTAATCACTTGTTGTACATCAGAGAGCTGCACAATGACTAGGTAAGGATGATTGTTATTGTTTTTGTTAAGTTCTGTCGAGTTGCAGGTGACTCATAGTGACCCTGTGAAGGAGAGTCCTCAACAGTTATGTGTCTTTCATCCTCTCTCCAGGTTCATAGGGTTTCTGGAGGCAAGCTATTACGGAAGTGGATGCCACTCCTGCTTCCAAGCTTGTTTTAATAAGGAAGCTCCACCCCACACTGTCTGCATTGGGTAACCAACCATTATCGCATTTGACACATCAGTGTCACAGTGTTCAGCTTCACAGCAACTACAAGTTACTGCTGTAGCTGTACGGCAAGTGGACACACCAGGGCTATACTACCTAGAGGAATGTTTGAACAAAAACAATGAAGGACAGGCCCAAGGGCCACGGATTAAAAGTCACCTACCTTTGGCTTGGTAGCATTGCTTTCTGTCTACTGGGCCAACTGATCTCTCTCTATGTTTATGTTATTAAGTGCCATTGCAGGTGACTCGATGGCCCATAATGACAATAATAAAATGGCATAGTCACTTATCTAATTTAGCACCATAACTGAAAAGCATTGATTCTCCTTTTGTGATCCTTATTATAGTCCAGCTCTCAGATGCATAGCAAGTGCTTGAAAAGATTATGGCCTGATTCAGACACACCTTACTCTTTCTATTGATATTATTGCTCCTTAGTACTTTGAAGAGGTCCTTGAGAGCAGACTTTCCCACACTGCATTTTTTGTTTCTTGATTGCTACTACCAAAATTTTTTTGTGGATTAAGTAAAATGAAATTATTGATAATTTCAATCTTTTTTCTATCTAGCAAGATAAAGTTGTATCATCAGTATAACTCAGATTGTTGATGAGTCTTCCTCTGATCTTGATACCACATTATTCCTTATGAAGTCAAGCTTCTCATTATTTGCCCAACATACAGATTGAATAGATATATGAAGAAAGAGTACTGCCCTCACACACTTTTTGATTTTAAACCATATAGTGTTCTCTTGCTCTGTTCAGACTACATCTTCTTGGTGTGGGTATAGGTTTCATGGCAGCATAATTAATCTGAGATTCCCAGTTTTCTCATTGTTTATTGTAATAAACACAGTTAAATACCTTTGCACAGTCAATAAAACACAAAAGCATAAATAGATGTTCTGGTATTCTCAGCTTTCCCCCAAGTCCATCTGACATCAGCAATGATATGTCTGGGGCCATCGCCTCTTTTATACCCAGCTTGAACTTCTAACAGTTCTTTATTAATGTACTTTTCTGTCTTTTTTTGGATGATATTGAGCAGTATTTTGATTACATGGTACATTTTTCAATAATAATCCATATTCTGTTGGTTCACATTTCTCGTCATCGGGAACAAATACGCATCTCTTCCTGTCAGTTGGCCAGGTAACTATCCTCCACATTTTCTCACACTCTAGACTGGTGAGCACATCCAAGGCTGCATTTGTTAGTTGAAACTGTCAACTAATGTTTCTAGGGCCTGATTTTTTTGCCAGTGCCTTCAGTTCAGCTTGAACTTCCTTTGTCTCTATTAGCCTTTTATCATATGCTGCTTCCTGAAAGATTTCATTGTAAGCAAATACTTTTTGGGACAGTGACTCTGCAGTATAGTGTATTACTGTCAAGTTGTTGCTTTTGTGTGCTGTGTAAGTTCTAATTCAAAGTGACCTGTGAGGCAATAGAACTCCCCTATAAATTTCTACACCAGAAACTCTGCAGAAGCTGATGACCAGATCTCTTTTTCTGTTATGCAGGTTATAATTTGAACTGTCACTTTTTAATTAGTAGTCAGCCAGCATTTAGTCAGTGTACCACCAGAGCTCCTATGCTATAAATGGTGAGTGGCTTGTAAATAAAGTAATCATTTTTATTTATTGTCGACTACAGGAAAGCAATTCAAAAGTATGAAGTGTGGCAGATCTTTTTAGAGTCATAAATAGATTTAATCTTTTCTGTTTGTTAATCACAAGAAAAGCAGCAGCCTGGTGGCCAGCATGAGCAGAACAAGGGAATATGACGTGGTTTAAAAGGAAGACTCTGTCAGAATTGTATCATCCTACCAAACCTATTTAATCCGTATGCTGAGCAAATCATTTGAGAAGCTGAATTCTATGAAGAAGAATGTGGCAACAAGATCAGGGGAAGACTCATCAGTAACCTGCTATAAACAAGCTTGCTTGCTGAACCGGAAGAGGACTTGAAGCACTGTTACAGAAGATCGAAGTATGCAGCCTTCAATATGGATTGCATCTCAATGTCAAGAAAACAAAGATTTTTACCCTTGGATTCATAGGTGACATCATGATAGATGGAGAAAATATTGAAGTTGTCAACAATTTCATGTTACTTCGATCCACAGTCAACATTCTTGCTACCAGCAATAAATTAGGAGACTTACTGCACTGGGAAAGTCTGCTGTCAGTGATTTCTCCAAATTATTGGAGAGCAATTATGTCAGTTTGACATTGCTGGGATAGGCTCTAATGTGTTATAAAGTGTGAGGATGGCACAGTATAGGAAAGGGTTCAGATCTGTTGTTCATAAGGTCGCTATTTGTCGTCCTCATCCTGATGTCAACTACCAACAACAGTGGCCAGTACTGGAGAACTTGAGTGCTAACAAAAGGTCAGGTGCTCCTTCTTGATAGATGATAGAATAGGATGAAACTGTCACCTATGAGTTGGTTCCTGCATAACAACAATGAGTAAGGGATTGTGTAGTTCTTCTCTTTTATGTGTATTACTTAATTCTGTATGTCTTAATCTACATTTTAAAAAATACAGTTATTTAACAGTTTAGTGAATTTTTAGAAAAAGTTTAAACCTATCATAGTAAAAATACTTATCTTTGAATTTAAAATGTATGTTGGTAACTTTTCATTTTTATTTACTTCAATTTTTAGGAAATAGAAAATAAAGAAAAGAAGTTAAAGAATTTAGAAGATGTTCTTGAAGAGTATAACAGAAAATTTGCAGTAATTCGTCACCAGCAAAGCATATTATATAAAGAATATTTAAGGTATAGATATTGACCAAACTTTATGGTTGTGGTTGGTCTGATGGTAGTGGGTTATGAGAAATTATTAACATTAGTGCAACTAAAGTTGGTATACAACCCCCACTGCTGAATTTGACTGGCTTAAATTAAATAAAAACAACAACAAAACCAAAAAGCACGAACAAAACACAACTAAAAACTTTTAGGATTATAATTATAAATATTTATATTCATGATTAAATGTTGCAAAGTTGTAGGTATTTTTACTTTTTCCATTGTATCTCAGCCCTCTATGTTTTTTTAAAAAAATTGTCTAATATATTTAGGAAGAACTTACCAGTTTTCTGTAATTGTTCTGGGTGGTGTGAATTCACCCATTGTCACTGGATAGCCATGAGACTTTAGGAAGTAATTTTTTTTTATTCATTTTAATGAAAGTTTACAGAGACTTAGGGTTTCAGTCATTCATTGTTATACTTTTCTCCCTGCCCACCCCCTCCCCTGGAAACTCATTTTTT